CCTTGTTCCTGTGTCTCATCTCTGAAACAGTCTAGCCCTGTCCACCTTTTCAATTCCTCTCAGTATTTTATACGTCGTTACCATGTCCTCCCTATTCCTCCTATCCTCTAGCGTCATCAGTTTGAGTTCCCTTAACCTCTCCTCATAAGACATATTCCTTAGTGCCGGGACTATTCTTGTTGAAAACTTTTGCCCTCTCTCCAATTTCCTGATGTGTTTGACCAGGTGTGGGTTCCATACTGGTGCTGCATACTCCAATATGGGCCTGACGTTCACAGTGTCCAGTGTCTTGAATGACCCCTTACCCAGGTTTTGAAACGCTATTCTCAGTTTTGCCAGGTGCCCATATACTGCAGCGGTTATTTAGTTGATGTGCGCCTCAGGAGACGTGCTCGGTATAATGCTCGCGCCAAGATCCTTTTACTTAAGTGATGTTTGCAGTTTTTGACTCCCAAGCACCCACTCCGTCTGTGGTGTTCTTTGTTCTTCCTCAAGCTTCATGACTTTGCATTTGACAAGCTTCATGACTTTGCCATTTGTCGGACCAGGATTGCAGTCTGTCCAAATTCCTTAGTAGTCTTACCTGATCCTTGTCCGCTTGAATTCTCCGCATTAGCTTGGCGTCGTCTGCAAACAGGGACACCTCTGAATCTATGCCTTCCGTCATGTCACTCACATATACTAGAAACAACACCTCGCTCGACACAGGCGCCCACTCTGACACCTCAAGTACCATCACTCATTGTTTTCTTCCTACCACCTATTTGTAGTTGCAGGGGTCGATTCACAGCTCCTGGCCCAGCTTCTTCGCTAGGTCTACTTTCCCTGCTTCAAGAATCTTATCGTACCTCTTCTTAAAGCTATTTATGGATCCTGCCTCCACTACTTTCTCCAGATTGTTCCATTTCCTGACAACTCCAAAGCTGAAGAAATACTTCCAAACATCCCTATGACTCATCTGAGTTTTTAACTTCTAGTTGTGACCCCTTCTTCCTGTGTCCCATCTCTGAAACATTCTGGCCTTGTCCACCTTGTCAATTCCTCTCAGTATTTTATACGTCGTTATCATGTCCCTCCTATCTCTCCTGTCGTCTGATGTCGTCAGGTTGAAACCCCTTAACCTCACCTCGTAGGACATACCCCTTAGCTATGGGATTAATCTTGTTGCAAACTTTTGCACGTTCTCCAATTTCCTGACGTGTTTGACCAGGTGTAGGTTCCATACTGGTGCTGCATACTCCAATATGGGCCTGATGTACACGGTGGACAGTGTCGTGAATGACTCCTTTCATTGATGTGTGTGTGTGTGTGTGTGTGTGTGTGTGTGTGTGTGTGTGTGTGTGTGTGTGTGTGTGTGTGTGTGTGTGTGTGTGTGTACTCACCTAGTTGTACTCACCTAGTTGAGGTTGCGGGGGTCGAGTCCGAGCTCCTGGCCCCGCCTCTTCACTCTCCCTGAACCGTGAGCTTTATCATACCTCTGCTTAAAGCTATGTATGGATCCTGCCTCCACTACATCGCTTCCCAAACTATTCCACTTACTGACTACTCTATGGCTGAAGAAATACTTCCTAACATCCCTGTGGTTCATCTGTATCTTCAACTTCCAACTGTGTCCCCTTGTTACTGTGTCCAATCTCTGGAACATCCTGTCTTTGTCCACCTTGTCAATTCCTCTCAGTATTTTGTATGTCGTTATCACGTCCCCCCTATCTCTCCTGTCCTCCAGTGTCGTCAGGTTGATTTCCCCTAACCTCTCCTCGTAGGACATACCTCTTAGCTCTGGGACTAGTCTTGTTGCAAACCTTTGCACTTTCTCTAGTTTCTTTACGTGCTTGGCTAGGTGTGGGTTCCAAACTAGTGCCGCATACTCCAATATGGGCCTAACGTACACGGTGTACAGGGTCCTGAACGATTCCTTATTAAGATGTCGGAATGCTGTTCTGAGGTTTGCTAGGCGCCCATATGCTGCAGCAGTTATTTGGTTGATGTGCGCTTCAGGAGATGTGTCTGGTGTTATACTCACCCCAAGATCTTTTTCCTTGAGTGAGGTTTGTAGTCTCTGGCTCCCTAGACTGAACTCCGTCTGCGGTCTTCTTTGCCCTTCCCCAATCTTCATGACTTTGCACTTGGTGGGATTGAACTCCAGGAGCCAATTGCTGGACCAGGTCTACAGCCTGTCCAGATCCCTTTGTAGTTCTGCCTGGTCTTCGATCGAGTGAATTCTTCTCATCAACTTCACGTCATCTGCAAACAGGGACACCTCAGAGTCTATTCCTTCCGTCATGTCATTCACAAATACCAGAAACAGCACTGGTCCTAGGACTGACCCCTGTGGGACCCCGCTGGTCACAGGTGCCCACTCAGACACCTCGCCACGTACCATGACTCGCTGCTGTCTTCCTGACAAGTATTCCCTGATCCATTGTAGTGCCTTCCCTGTTATCCCTGCTTGGTCCTCCAGTTTTTGCACCAATCTCTTGTGTGGAACTGTGTCAAACGCCTTCTTGCAGTTCAAGAATATGCAATCCACCCACCCCTCTCTCTCTTGTCTTACTGCTGTCAATATGTCATAGAACTCCAGTAGGTTTGTGACACAGGATTTCCCGTCCCTGAAACCATGTTGGCTGCTGTTGATGAGATCATTTCTTTCTAGGTGTTCCACCACTCTTCTCCTGATAATCTTCTCCATGATTTTGCATACTATACATGTCAGTGACACTGGTCTGTAGTTTAATGCTTCATGTCTGTCTCCTTTTTTAAAGATTGGGACTACATTTGCTGTCTTCCATGCCTCAGGCAATCTCCCTGTTTCGATAGATGTATTGAATATTGTTGTTAGGAGTACACATAGCGCCTCTGCTCCCTCTCTCAATACCCATGGGGAGATGTTATCTGGCCCCATTGCCTTTGAGGTATCTAGCTCACTCAGAAGCCTCTTCACTTCTTCCTCGGTTGTGTGCACTGTGTCTAGCACATGGTGGTGTGCCCCACCTCTCCGTCTTTCTGGAGCCCCTTCTGTCTCCTCTGTGAACACTTCTTTGAATCTCTTGTTGAGTTCCTCACATACTTCACGGTCATTTCTTGTTGTCTCTCCTCCTTCCTTCCTTAGCCTGATTACCTGGTCCTTGACTGTTGTTTTCCTCCTGATGTGGCTGTACAACAGTTTCGGGTCAGATTTGGCTTTCGCTGCTATGTCATTTTCATATTGTCTTTGGGCCTCCCTTCTTATCTGTGCATATTCGTTTCTGGCTCTACGACTGCTCTCCTTATTCTCCTGGGTCCTTTGCCTTCTATATTTCTTCCATTCCCTAGCACACTTGGTTTTTGCCTCCCTGCACCTTTGGGTAAACCATGGGCTCATCCTGGCTTTTTCATTATTCCTGTTACCCTTGGGTACAAACCTTTCCTCAGCCTCCTTGCATTTTGTTGCTGTGTGTGTGTGTGTACTCACCTAATTGTACTCACCTAATTGTGGTTGCAGGGGTCGAGACTCAGCTCCTGGCCCCGCCTCTTCACTGATCGCTACTGGGTCCTCTCTCTCTCTGCTTCCTGAGTTTTGTCATACCTCTTCTTAAAACTATGTATGGTTCCTGCCTCCACTACTTCACTTGCTAGGCTATTCCACTTGCTGACAACTCTATGACTGAAGAAATACTTCCTAACGTCCCTGTGACTCGTCTGAGTCTTCAGCTTCCAGTTGTGACCCCTTGTCCCTGTGTCCCCTCTCTGGAACATCCTATGTCTGTCCACCTTGTCTATTCCCCGCAGTATCTTGTATGTCGTTATCATGTCTCCCCTGACCCTTCTGTCCTCAAGTGTCGTCAGTCCGATTTCCCTTAACCTTTCCTCGTACGACATTCCCTTGAGCTCTGGGACTAGCCTTGTTGCAAACCTTTGTACTTTCTGTAACTTCTTGACGTGCTTGACCAGGTGTGGGTTCCAGACTGGTGCTGCATACTCCAGTATGGGCCTAACATACACAGTGTACAGTGTCATGAAAGATTCCTTATTAAGGTATCGGAACGCTATTCTCAGGTTTGCCAGGCGCCCGTATGCTGCAGCAGTTATTTGGTTGATGTGTGCCTCCGGTGATGTGCTCGGTGTTATGGTCACCCCAAGGTCTTTCTCCCTGAGTGAGGTCTGTAGTCTTTGTCCACCTAGCCTTTACTCTGTCTGCGGTCTTCTTTGCCCCTCCCCAATCTTCATGACTTTGCATTTGGCTGGATTGAATTCGAGAAGCCAGTTACTGGACCACATGTCCAGCCTGTCCAGGTCTCTTTGCAGTCCTGCCTCATCCTCGTCCGATTTAATTCTTCTCATCAACTTCACATCATCTGCGAACAGGGACACTTCAGAGTCTATTCCTTCCATCATGTCGTTCACATATATCAAAAATAGCACTGGTCATAGAACTGACCCCTGTGGGACCCCGCTCGTAACAGGCGCCCACTGTGATACCTCTTCACGTACCATGACTCGTTGCTGCCTCCCTGTCAGGTATTCCCTTATCCATTGCAGTGCCCTCCCTTTTACATGCGCCTGATCCTCCAGCTTCTGCACTAATCTCTTGTGGGGAACTGTGTCAAAGGCCTTCCTGCAGTCTAGGAAAACGCAATCTACCCACCCCTCTCTCTCGTGTCTTACTTCTGTGTGTGTGTATGTGTGTGTGTGTGTGTGTGTGTGTGTGTGTGTGTGTGTGTGTGTGTGTGTGTGTGTGTGTGTGTGTGTGTGTGTGTGTGTGTGTGTATATGTGTGTGTGTATGTGTGTGTGTGTGTATGTGTGTGTGTGTGTGTGTGTGTGTGTGTGTGTGTGTGTGTGTGTGTGTGTGTGTGTGTGTGTGTGTGTGTTTGTGTTTGTGTGTGTGTGTGTGTGTTGTGACCATGTCTCCTCTGTGAAATATACCAGTTATTGTCCTCACACCTCAGGTTAACCTGACTACCACTGTTCTTGTTATCTTATCAGCACACTGAGATTCTCCTTGAACCTCCCAACTATGCAGTACTTTCTCCTCCCCGGAACACTCCCTCCTCCTTGGAACACTCCCTCCTCCTTGGAACACTCCCTCCTCCTTGGAACACTCCCTCCTCCTTGGAACACTCCCTCCTCCTTGGAACACTCCCTCCTCCTTGGAACACTCCCTCCTCCTTGGAACACTCCCTCCTCCTTGGAACACTCCCTCCTTCTTGGAACACTCCCCCCTCCCTGGAACACTCCCTCCTCCTCCTTGGAACACTCCCCCCTCCCTGGAACACTCCCTTCTCCCAAGAACTCTCCTCCATATGCACAAATTATTCGAGTTTTCAATTTCCTGAATGTGTGAAGATTTTTAATACATGAAGAGTGCGAGTGTGTTGTTGTTGTTGTTGTTGTGTGAGTGTTGCCGCTCTGAAGGAAGTCATCAGGTTAGCCTGGGCATCATCTAGCAATCAGAGGCGCGCACCGATATGTCGGTGTGTGTCTGTGTTGAGTGTGGGTGTCTGATGTCCTGTCTCCCAGCCCTGGGCTGGGGGGGTTCGTGGGAGGGGTTTAGTTATTAACCAAACACACCTTAGAATTATTCATGTGATGGTGTATAATTTAGCGGGGGTCTCCAGTATGGGAGTAACTTATGGCTTCCTAAGTCAGTGGTGGAGGCGAGTAATCCAGTAAAGTGCGCGGGGAACGGCCACTAATTTACCATAATTGAGTTACAAGTATCATCATTGTCGCCCCATACGTCACGCTGGCGTCCCACCCCATGTCTTACCATTGGCTTGTCCTGGCGGGGAGGAAAATTGTCGGGCGGAGCTTGGCCAGCGAGAGGACCAATGGTGTGCGGGGCGTGGCGTGCCTGGCGCTGAGGTAGTGTGAGGGTATCCTGATGAGGACTGGCACTTGTGCTCGAACATTTGGGCCGTAGAGGTCAGTGCTAGTGAAGATGAGCTTGGTCGGAGGATACTCCATGCCTCAGAGCTACGGCCACACCGCCATGGCGGCCACACCATCCCCTGAGGCACTATACTCACCATATTACTCTCACCCCAGCCCTCCAGGGCAGGCTCTCTACCCTGGCTGGGGCTACACACCTGCGGGATACTCCCCGGGGTATTCTTCCGAAGTAGGGATGTCCTGTCCTGAGTTCGGTGTCTCCGGCGGCTTCGTTGTAGGACCTGGGTCGCCACACGACCTGGGAGGGGATTACACCATAGAGATGGTTGATGGGTGTGGCCGGGTGGTGAAGCGAAGATCGTCAGCCAACAAGAAGGAACGTCGTCGAACTCAGAGTATCAACAACGCATTCGCTGAGCTGCGCGAGTGTATCCCTAACGTTCCTGCAGACACTAAACTCTCCAAGATTAAGACTCTGCGTCTGGCAACCTCCTACATCGCCTACCTCATGGAGGTTCTTCATGCTGAAGATTCCCACCCTGCACCTCCACCACCTCAACCCTTCCGCGCCGACCTGCCGCCCAGACCTAGGGCCAACCCTGCCGCCCACGACGACAAGGTGAGTCTTAGTGCCGCCCATCACCAGTCGTAGTGACACGCCACGAAATGGTGAGTTTTATTGCTGCACATCACCAGTCTTTCCTGCCGCTAGCCAGCGACGACCCAAGGTAAGTTTTAGTGCCGCCCACCGGCCTACCACAGCTCCAACCCTTTTGTGCCGATCGCTCATCCAATTCCCAAGGCAAACTGAGCCACCCAATGCAAGTCTTTGAGCCACCCGTCACCAGTCGTAGTACCGCCAACGACCACATTGTAGGTGTTAGTTCCACCACCAACAAAGTGAATCTTATCGTCGTTCGCTACTAAAATAACACCACTTAAATCCCAGTGTTTATACACTGAGATTAATCTAGCTGTATTCAAATTGGGGCTTGGCTTCCAGACCTTGTGTATATCCATGTTCTCTTGCGCTACCCTTGTAGGATGGACATGACGTGCACAGTAAACTAGCCACTACCATCGTCCATTGGATGGGTATGAGGTGAACAATAAACTAGCCGCTACCATCGTCCATCGGATGGATATGAGGTGTACAATAAACTAGCCACTACCATCCATAGTATGGTTGAGGGGTACAATAAATTAGCCACTACGGAGGCAAAAATCTGGATTAGTCTAATACTGTTTCAGTAGAGATTCTTGATGTTAGTACAGGTAACGTGTGGTGTTAACGGTTCATGTGCATCTCCGTTGCTAGCGCACTCAGCTCAAACATTAAGGTCCGTGGTTCGATCCCCGCTACGGGTGGAAACATTAGGGTTATGTTTCCTTAAGATACCCGCTGTCCCTGTTCACCTAGCAGTAAATAGGTACCTAGGTGTTAGCCTACTGGTGTGGGTCACATCTTGGGGACAAAATTAATGACACTGATGTCGCTATGGTCTGTACGTGTTGTATAATGTACTTGTAGAAATAAATATTATTATTATTATTATTATTATTATTATTATTATTATTATTATTATTATTATTATTCCAAGAGCAAGGCAGTAGCATTAAACGAAAGGCAGCAGCATTGAATATGAGGCAGCAGCACTGAACAAACCTATTAAGACGGGTACAGTCATACAGCTCTCGGGGAATGGGAAATATTCAGGTTTGATCCAAGGAAAGGAGGAGTTGCTCTAATTCTTTATTTCAAAAGCAATTGTGTAGCGTTGGTAGAGGCACACTTCGCGGTACAATGGTGGTTAAGCTGCCTCAACCTGTAACCATTATCTCAGGCTAAGTTCCTCAAGTATTAACTTGAGCGTTACATCAGGCTCGTAAACTTGTACTATTTTCTATGTTGGTCATGTGGTGTGTTGTTCCTTGCATGTGTGCCGTCTGATCCATTAATCAATAGATTAATGGAGTTTAAAGACTATCTACTACACGAGGACCCTAAATCTGCACTCCCTAGACAGGCGTAGAATTAGAGGAGATATGATTAAGGTGTATAAATGGAAAATATAAATGTATAAAAGGGATGTAAATAACGTGCTAAAAGTATCTAACTCACAGCAATGGTTTCAAGTTGGAAAAATTTAGATTTAGAGAGGATATAGCACTGGTCTGATAATAGAGTTGTGGATGAGTGAAACAAACTCCAGAGTAACGTTACTGAAGCTAAAACGTTGAGATATTTTAAAAATAGGTTAGATATATACATGAGTATGTGTGGGTGGATAAATACCTATCTGGAGTATACCTGGAGAGGGTTTCGGGAACAACGCCCCCGCTGCCCGGTCTGTGATCAGGCCTCTTGGTGGATCAGGGTCTGATCAACCAGGCTGTTACTGCTGGTAGCACGCAAACCGACGTACGGTCACAGCCCGGCTAATCAGGTACTAACTTAAGGTACCTGTCCAGCGCCTTCTTGAAGACAGTCAGGAGTCTGCAGGTAATCCACTTTATGTATACTGGGAGACAGTTGAACAGTCTTGGGCCCCTGACACTTATTGTGTAGTGAATTGGACCTGACTGGATTGGGCCGGTAGGTGACTGGGACCTGCCTAACATGGGCCAGTAAGTCTACTGCAGTGCTCTTTTTTTCTTATATTCCTATGGATACTACAGCTACCTGTTATTTCCATACCACCGATTAAATACTTTAATCCTTTAACAAAAATACACCTCTTGGTATATATGTTCCTCACTAATCCCATCAGACTAAGTGAAAGAACAGAGCTTGTCCCCTGTCCCCTACAAGAGGCAGTCGAGTCATGAAGCAGTGGCTGAGGACTACTCTCAGTGTCCATGAGTCATGAAGCAGTGGCTGAGGGCTACTCTCAGTGTCCATGAGTCATGAAGCAGTGGCTGAGGGCTACTTTAGTGTCCATGAGTCATGAAGCAGTGGCTGAGGACTACTCTCAGTGTCCATGAGTCATGAAGCAGTGGCTGAGGGCTACTCTTAGTGTCCATGAGTCATGAAGCAGTGGCTGAGGACTACTCTCAGTGTCCATGAGTCATGAAGCAGTGGCTGAGGGCTACTCTCAGTGTCCATGAGTCATGAAGCAGTGGCTGAGGGCTACTCTCAGTGTCCATGAGTCATGAAGCAGTGGCTGAGGGCTACTCTCAGTGTCCATGAGTCATGAAGCAGTGGCTGAGGGCTACTCTCAGTGTCCATGAGTCATGAAGCAGTGGCTGAGGGCTACTCTCAGTGTCCATGGGTCAACATGAAGACCACTCTCAGCTTCCCTGGGTCCAGGATCACTACCAAGCATTTACCACCTCAAGAAGTACTTCTAGTGACAGTTCTTTAGGTAACAGATCAAGAAGTACTTTCAATAAATAACAAAAAAGGCACAATACCGTGACTGGAACGATACAACAAGTGCTTCTAGTGTTCAATACAACAGGTTCAGTAGTGAATGGAGACAATGTCAATATGTGAACAGCTGGTGAAAGAGACACATGCAACGGAGTCCTTCATTTGTTCAACGTTCCGCCACACACTGGCATTTTTCAAGTACTGTACTTGAAATTTTTTTTTTTTTTTCAGCGTATTTTAAAGTTTTCTGAAAGCACCTGGTTAATAAAGTGTTGGGTCCAGCAGGAGTTGTGTTGGTTTCTTGCAGCAGCAACACTGAAGGTGGACGTAGTAACTGAGAGGCGGCTACAGTCACTTGATATAACAGATTGCAATGGTACCTATTACAGCAGCATGAAAACTTCTTACACACACACACACACACACACACACACACACACACAACACACACACACACACACACACACACACACACACACACACACACACACACACACGCACACTGCAACCACAATTAGGTGAGTACACACAAGGGGAATCTTAACAGTGTCAGGAATAAAATTAAAGAAGCAAATACTAACTCCACTCTATTTTTTTAAAAAAGTTTTGTGTTGATCAAACTCCATCATCAGTTCTTGAGTGCGTCAAGTAAGAATAAACAACACAGAAGCTACTTTACACAAGCATTGTTCTAGTGAGTCAAGTAACAATAAACAACACAGAAGCTACTTTACACAAGCATTGTTCTAGTGAGTCAAGTAACAATAAACAACACAGAAGCTACTTTACACAAGCATTGTTCTAGTGAGTCAAGTAACAATAAACAGCACAGAAGCTACTTTACACAGCATTGTTCTAGTGAGTCAAGTAACAAAAACAACACAGAAGCTACTTTACACAAGCATTGTTTTTAGTGAGTCAAGTAACAATAAACAACACAGAAGTTACTTTACACAAGCATTGTTCTAGTGAGTCAAGTAACAATAAACAGCACAGAAGCTACTTTACACAAGCATTGTTCTAGTGAGTCAAGTAACAATAAACAACACAGAAGCTACTTTACACAAGCATTGTTCTAGTGAGTCAAGTAACAATAAACAACACAGAAGCTACTTTACACAAGCATTGTTCTAGTGAGTCAAGTAACAATAAACAGCACAGAAGCTACTTTACACAAGCATTGTTCTAGTGAGTCAAGTAACAATAAACAACACAGAAGCTACTTTACACAAACATTGTTCTAGTGAGTCAAGTAACAATAAACAACACAGAAGCTACTTTACACAAGCATTGTTCTAGTGAGTCAAGTAACAATAAACAGCACAGAAGCTACTTTACACAAGCATTGTTCTAGTGAGTCAAGTAACAATAAACAACACAGAAGCTACTTTACACAAGCATTGTTCTAGTGAGTCAAGTAACAATAAACAGCACAGAAGCTACGTTACACAAGCATTGTTCTAGTGAGTCAAGTAACAATAAACAGCGCAGAAGCTACTTTACACAAGCATTGTTCTAGTGAGTCAAGTAACAATAAACAGCACAGAAGCTACTTTACACAAGCATTGTTCTAGTGAGTCAAGTAACAATAAACAGCGCAGAAGCTACTTTACACAAGCATTGTTCTAGTGAGCCAAGTAACAATAAACAGCACAGAAGCTGCTTTACACAAGCATTGTTCTAGTGAGTCAAGTAACAATAAACAACACAGAAGCTACTTTACACAAGCATTGTTCTAGTGCAGTGGTTCCCAAACTTTTTCAGCTTGTTACCCAATTTAACATGCCACATAAAGCATGTTACCCCTTTCACAAAATGTTGTTATTATTGATATATATGGCTAAACGTGAACGTATACAGCTTCGCATACTCTGCTAATCCTAGCAAAACCATTGCAAACGTAAGAACCACACATACATTATATATAAAATTAATAATAGCTACAAATTCACAGTAACAGTGGGTAAATACTAACTATATACTGCACATGGCAGTACACATACATACCAGCTTATGTCTACCTCGGCTGATGCTCACAGATAAACTGACAGTGTGAAATAGAGGCAGCCTCAGGAAGTGAGTGACGCGTACTGGACAGGTCGATCTGGGCTACTGAGTGACTTTTGTCCTGAAGCATACTTGTCAAAATACTTTTGGGTTTCCACACACTTAGCTATATATTTCTTCTTTTCTAATACTGTATATTAGTTTTTGATGTTTATTGTTATTTGGTTTAACTTTATTAC